GCATGTTATTCTTGAATCTGGCTGGCCTTGTTTCAGCTGATGCAATGTCGCAGAAGTTTCACTGTGTGAGTTCTGGAGCTCAGGCCTCAAGAGACCCCGAGTGTCCACTTCACCCTTCTGAAATGTTAACCAAGCCAAATGAGGAAGCTGGTCCAGCTTGGGCAGGATGGGGCCACGTGGCAGAGAGCCAGAAGTCCGGAGACCGCAACTCTAGTGTCCATATGTGGTGCCACTTCCCTCCTGGCAGGCCAGCGGACAACTGACAGCAGGTGCATGAGGGAGGCCCCAAGGAAGCCACAGCACCACCCAGATCCTACAACTGTGCAAAGGAACAGGCAGAGGACTATGAAGCCACAAAGATAGCTGGGATTTAACCCAGGCTGTGGTTTGGCCTAGAGAATATGATGAAGCAACAGGAGGGAGCAAGGGTTAGGGAGCAGGCCCCATGGCTGGCCAGATAAGGTTCTCTTGATACAGAGGAGAAAGGATGTCAGGGGATGAGGAAGCACCAGCCTGGGTCTTATCCAGGGACTGCCAATCTTAGCAGGGCTGGAGGAGAGTGGGAGACACGAGCTGTGAGGCTGTGAAGTCAACAGGGAATGTGATGCTTGAGGTTAGCCGGGGGAAGGGTTGCATTCGGGAGAAGGACCCTGGCCAGGGAAGTGAGGGGCCAAGTGGGGAAGTAAAAGGACTGCTGAAGGGGAGGACATCTGGAAGGTTGGAGAATCATCTTTGTGGATTTTGAAATTACCAGGAACCGTGGCAGGAGTGCTTGGGGAAAGTGACAGAGGATCAGGAATAAAACACATAGGGGGGACACCTGGGTGCCTCAGCGGTTGAACGCCTGCCCTTGGTCCAGCGCATGATCCTGGGATTCCAGGATCGAGTCCCGCATCAGGCTCCCTGAGCGGAAACTGCTTCTCCCTCTGCCTGTGTCTCTGCCTCTCTGTGTCTCTCATGAATAAATAAACAGAATTTTAAAAAAACAAAACACAAAGGGACTGAGAGAAGCCCCAGGCGCAGAGACAACTTCAGCAAGGTGAGGTGTGATGATACAAGGTTGACAGCTGGGGCTTTTGTGGTAGAGAAGAGAGTGGTCTGGAAGTTACACAGAGGAAGGGCAAGGAAGCTCACCTCTCTCCAGGTGTAGTGGTCCAAGAAGCGGGAGCAGCACCCCTAGGAGCCATCCCACACAGACAGGGGTTGGGAGAAATTTCACCACTTCCCAAGGTGGAGAGATATGACTTCCCGGATCTGGAGAGGTGTCAACACTCAGATTTTGGAGAAAGATATTAATAACGCCCAGACCATGGGGAAGATGCTATCACTCACCATGTGTTGGGGTGGGGTGCCCTGCCCACTCTTCAGGTAGCTGAGGGAAAGTGTGTCATTTCCATGGCCTGTAAGGGTGGAAGATGCCCCCTTGGCCAAGAAGATGAGGACCATCCTGGAACCTGAAACCTCATCATCAGCAAGCTGTGCTCCTGGCCTCTGCTTGGGTCCTGGGCATTTGTTTCCCTCGTTGATATCTTGCATCCTGGATCCATCAGCCCTGACCTTTGTCACTTGCTGGATTCTGGCAAACAGTGACTCAGCCCCCAGCTCCCACTTTGCAGCAGAGAACCAACAACAGTTCTAGCTTAGTCACTTGACAGCTCTGGCCCCAGCTGCCTGAGTCGATGGGCTGCTGCCTCTTGGCAGGAGAGGAGGTAGCAGACTCTAAGGAGGGTACATGGGAAGACAGGAGCAGGTGGTGGCCTATGGTATCTCCTATGTTCTGGAACCCATGTGCCAAAGGAATGTGAGGGGCAGGGTGTAAATGCAGGTGCCATCTTCCTGTCAGAGGTTGGGAGGCAGGATGCACACAAACAGCATTTCACAGGCTCTCAAGTGACACTGGCTGAGTGTTGTCATAGGGAATGCTGTTATAGTGGCCGATGTGAGACCTCCTCCCCCATAAGGCTAGAGCCCCCTGTCTGGCCTAGAAGATATCTCCATCTTTCCTCACAAACTCCCCCACTGACTTTCCTGCTTTGCTCCCCACCCTATGGCCATCAGTGGGCCCTGCGGATGTCCCCTGAACCATCAGCCATCTGGGGCATGGCCCACTCAGGCCTGGGTCCAGGAAAACAGACAGCTGGCCTTTGATGGCTCCCAAGAAGCATTCATCAGACAGAAAGCCAGGGTTCAAAGGCCCTGTAAATGCAGGAGAAAATAAGGAATAAGGACAGGGAAGGAGGAGTGGGTGGAAAAAGCCACTGGGTTTAGGGCTTGGTTCATCCCAGGTAGTCCAGTTACTACTGCTCTGAAACAACTGACCCTGAAATGTCATAGTAAACAACTGTCCTACTCTGGGAACCAAGAATTGGAACAGAACACACAGGGGCAGCTGATCAGATGTGAAATAGGTGGCATGGCAACTTCAGGCTGGGATCATTTGGAGATGTTTCGCTCATGTGTTTGGCAGCTGAGACAGACTAGTGGGATGCTGGCTGCAATACCTACACAAGGCCTTTCCATGGGACCTCTCCTTGTGGCCTGTCCATGAGGCCAGCTGGTGCTTCCTTACAGAGGCAGTCTGTGGGACAAGGGCCTAGAGGGTCATGACCAGACAGATAATGGGGATGTAGGTGATGAGGACATTGGGAAAGCATACCACGCTCTGGCCTAGAGAGGGCTCCTTGCTGGGACTGATGCTGAGAAGGCCAAGATACAGGCCCCTCGACACCCTGGGTGGAGGGCTTCTTTCCTTCTCTGGCAGGCCTCTGAGGATGAGCCAAGGAGGTGCTCAGAGTGTGGAGAGCACTGGGAGGCATATCGTCCCTCTGTTCCCACCTGCTTCTCTGGGGCAGTTGCAGGGCAGCTGACACGTCCCCAGTTCTCACTGCATGCTGGGTACCTTTAAAGTAGGCTCTCATTTATCTGGGATAAATAGAAAGGTGATCCATTTTACAGATGAGGAAGCAGGTACAGGAAGGTAAATCAGCCCATCTAACAACTAGTGAGGGAAAGAATGGGCAAGAACGTCGCTGTCAGGCCTCTCCTTCCAGTCTGGCCGCCTGCCAGAACCCACCTGGCCAAGCGGCTGCGCCCCGACCACTCCCAAGAGGAGGAGGAGGCGCCGGTGGCCACTGGAGGCGCTCGCGGGCTCCCGGCCTCCGCAATCCCCGCGACCTCCTTCCTAGACGGCAGGACTGGTTCCAGTTTGCGCCCGGCGGAGAAGCGCTCCCAGGGCTTTTTGGGCTACGGTGGCAGCTCTTCAGATTCCTGCCTGACCCCAACGGCTTTCCAACGCCCCCTCCACTCCCGTACGCTCCTCTGGGCGGGAAAGGGGAACCGGTAGCCTCATCTAGGTGCCTGTGCAGAAGCGATCGCAGGCAGGCAGCGGAGCGGGGCAGGGCGAGGGCATCGGTGGAGAGCAGGCAAGGACTTTGCTTGACCCTAGACTACAGTCAGCCTCGGAAAGGAAAAGTGGCTTCTGGATGGGGGCCCAGAGTGGGACCCGGAAATGGGTGTTGGGGCAAGGGACAGCCGTGGACACTCACTATGGAGAACCACAGCAGTCGAGCTGACCTGACCCTTCGAGGCTTGCCATCGGCTCACTCCATTGCTCAGAAAAGCTCCCTCCGCCCCAGGCTCTCCCACAGCCCTCCCCGGGTCCAAAGCCTCCAGGCCCCGTGCCTCTGCCTGCCCCTTCCCCTCCTCCCTTAGCCCCTGGGGTCTCTTCCCCATCCTGGGGGCGCCATGCCCTCCCCCTGAGGCTCTGCAGAGCTGCCGTCTCCCTAGAGGATTCCATCTCAGAGGAGACTTCCCCACCACCCAGTCAAAAGAAGGGTTTCCTCTCCCCCAGCAGCCTATCCATTTCTTTCCATCGCTTACAACGGAATGATTATTTTGCTCGGCAATTCCTCCAGCACCAGATTAGAAGCCTCAGCACCTGGCCAGCCCCACAGTGGGACTCCGGAAACGTCTATGGGAAACCACACTGCTGCCAGGCGACAGTGGGCTGTGGACTGTTAGTATGCAAAGACTATGGCCCTGCAACCTAATTCAAAATGAAAACAATATCCAACGGGAAAATAACATAGTCCTGTTTCTCTCGCTGTGCCACTTTGAAAGAAACAGATATTAACAGTTGCTCCTCGTTTTTTTGTGAGCCCTCCTTCGCTGGTGCTTAGCCTACTGTTGAGTAATCTAAAAGAGTGTAACATTACCAGCCCGGTGACGTTACCTCATCTGGCTTGTGTGATCACTGACCTTCAGCCTGAGATATCGCCTCATTATCTGGTGGCATTGCCAGCCTGGCCAGTGACATCTTCCAGCCTGATTGGTGACATCACTCCAACCTGTCCAGCAATATCACCCTCAACGGTTCTATGCCTTAATGCACTTGTCCTGCGACTCCCTGGCTGCCTCAAGACTGTAGCCAGCCGGTCTCTCTCCGGCCCCGGGGCCGGTGTGCCACGTTCACCATGTCACAGGCCTGGGGTAGGTGTGCAGGCAGTGGGGGTCCCGTGAGGCTGTTCAGAGCCCCTCGGCCCCGGACGGGAACCCGGGATGGCGAGGGAGAACGGAAGAGGCGCGTGGGCCGGGGCTCGCCTCCTCCTCCGGGGCCTGGCCCACCTCCCCTGGCGCGTTCTCCTTTCAGATTTCCCGCGCCGCCCTCCGCGAACTCCGCGCCCTCCTCCCATCCCCGACCTCGCTCGGCCTGAAGGAGCGCCTGGCGACTCCGCCCAGCCAGGGAGGTCCGCTGCCGGGAGCGGTCGGAAGAGGCCCCGTCCGGGCGCCCAGGTCGAGCTGCGGCGGCGGAGGAGGGGCCGCGGCGATTTTCCCGCTTCATCCCGGCGCAGCTGGAGGCTTTTGTCGCGCGCTGGAGCGGTGGGCCGGGAGCCGGGGCGGGGCTGACATTGGGCGGGGGCGGGGGCCGGGGCCGGGGGCGGGGGGGGGGGCAGGCGGGTGGAGCGCAGCCTCTCATTGGCTGGTGAGACTGTGGGAAAGAAAGCCGAGCCCGGTTCACACAGCCCGCGGCCGCGCTGCCTTAAATAGCCGAGCGGCGGGCAAGTCTGCGCGCGGGCCTGCAGCCTGAGACCCGAGCCGGGGAGCGTGGGACGCCGCGCGCCCGCCCGCCGCCGGCGGCGCACCCCGCCGGGCCCCGGAGGCGCACCATGCCTGCGGACACCCCAGGGAAGCCGAGGGCCTCGCCGCTGGCAGGAGCGCCGGCCAGCGCCAGCCGAACCCCGAATAAGCCCCGGAGTGCGGCGGAGCACCGAAAGGTGGGGACCCGGCGGGGCGGGGCGGGGCGGGGCGTGGGGGGCGTGGGGTGGGGCGGGTGGACGCGGGACTCAGCCACAGCCCGATCCACAGTCCTCCAAGCCGGTCATGGAGAAGCGGCGCCGAGCGCGCATCAACGAAAGCCTCGCGCAGCTCAAGACCCTCATCCTGGACGCTTTCAGGAAGGACGTAAGTCGGGGTCGGGAGGGGAGGCCGAGGGGCGGAGGTGCGGACCCGCAAGTCTTGGCGCACTACTGGCTTGCAAGCCGCCCACCACCGCCCTCCCCCCAGAGCTCCCGCCATTCGAAGCTGGAGAAAGCAGACATCCTGGAGATGACCGTGAGGCACTTGCAGAGCCTGCGGCGAGTGCAGGTGACAGGTGAGGCGCGGGCAGCAGCGGCGTGTGGGAGGGAGGTGGCCGGGAGGCGCCCCCCGGACCGCCGCGGCGGGAACCGACCGCCTGTCCCCTGCCGCCCCGCAGCCGCGCTCAGCGCCGACCCCGCGGTCCTGGGCAAGTACCGCGCCGGCTTCAACGAGTGTCTCGCGGAGGTGAATCGCTTCTTGGCCGGCTGCGAGGGCGTCCCGGCCGAAGTGCGCTCTCGCCTGCTCGGCCACCTGGCGGCCTGCCTGGGCCAGTTGGGGCCCTCGCGCCGCCCCGCCCCGGCACCCCCCGCTGCAGAGGCCCGCGCGCCCGAGGTCTACGCGGCTGGCCCGCCGCTCCCGGCTTTCGACGGCCCCTTCCCCCTGCTGCGCCCCGGGTACGCCTTCGCGCTGCGGCTCCCGCCGGGCCTGACCGGGACGCCCCCCACCGTCCCTAGGGCGGGGCTGCAGAACCGGGGCGCGCCCTGGAGGCCTTGGCTGCGCTGAGGCTGCACACGGTTCTGGGGCCGTGGCCTTTGCTGAGAGCGTGCCTGAGAATATTTGTTTCCAGAGGCCGCGTGGAGGGAGCTTTGATCTTTTCTTTGTGAAGACTCTAGGGTGGCGTTTCTCTCAGCCCTTAGTTCTGGGGCTCTGCTGGTTACTTTGCGCCAGACTTCGGGGGCAGGACTGCGGGTGGCCCATCCCCCAGCTTCTGTACCCTGCCTTTCCTCTACCCCAAGGCTTGGCCGATGTGCCTGCCTCTGTGGAGGAGCCAGCGACCCTCCTGGAAGCACTAGGAATGTGAGAAGCCACTGAGGAGGCCCAGGAAAGCGACAACTAGTCATCACATTTTCTGGAATGTATCCCAATGTCAGAAAGCAGTCTTGGCGGCATCATTGGGCAAGGTTGGTTGGTTTGTGTTTTAAAGTACTTTACCCTACTCTCACTCCTGTGGACCTTAGAAGGTGGAAACATTGTCACTTCTTGTCCTGGGCTGCTGAGCTGTGGGGAGAGGTGATCATGGCTTGAAGCTTCTGGCTTGGTGCACTGGTTCTGGCTTGGTCCATTTCCTACTTTGTTCTTATGGTTCAACAAAAAGCTGCCTGGACTGAGCCTGCCCCAGGCCAGTGTGCACAGGAGAGCCAACAGGAGAGACTGGCTGAGTCCTGAGGACAGGGAACTGGAGCAAGACTGGCCAAGAGCATTTAATGTCAGGGCTTGTGTGTGGGGGTACTGTCCCACCAGAGTCCAGTCCTGCTGTGTACCCTGGGAGGGGAGGTCTCCTTGGTAGTGGGAAAAGACTGGAGGGTGGTCCTGCGCATGCCTCTGTCCTGAGCACCTGCTGTGTGTCAGCCCTACAGTCCCGGGCAGTAGTGCTGGGCAGCATTGGACATCAGCCCTGGAGTCACTGTCCCAGATCACAGGTCTCCCTCAGCTGCTGCTGGGGGCTATGCTCCAGTTACAATGAGGGGGTGATCTGAGTCATACAAGTTCAGACTGGAGTGTCTCACCCTGAGCCCATCAGAGGTTGAGCCAAGATTCATTTCCCTACTGCAGCTAAGTTCATCAGATGGTAGCCTGCCGCCTACCTGGCCAGGGCCCATCAAGGAGAAAGAGGGTGAGTCACTGCTAGAGGTTAGCCTGCTTCTCCAGTGGCTTCCATGGTTGTGCTAGAGGCAGGATTCACCTGGGCCCTCCTGCATTTAGCCATGCTCACCTGGCAGGGATCTCCAGGTCCCTGCCAAGCCATCACTCTTGGCCCTCTGATCTCCTTGCCCATCTTCCCAAGAGTCCAGGGCCTTGGTCAGTGGTCCTAAATGGTGGCAGTTGCTGGGCCAGGTACTATATCCTTGGAGTTTTATACACTCAGTGATCCTGGCCCTAGGGGAGCTTCAGAGTAGTCTCTCCTTCAGAGCTGTGGCACTAGCAGGACTGTCAGGGAGGAATAGTTGATTAGGCCTAGAAAGCTCTCTTGGGCAGGAGACCAGCACAGGGTCCATTGCTGAAGCTGGAAGCTCAGTTTGGTTGGGGGAGGAGAGCTGCTGAGGGTCTCAGGGCAGAAGCTTGGGGGAGGGGTGTGGCACTTTGGGATGTGAAGCCTGATGGGTGATTAGGGGGGTGGTTAGGGTCTGTACAAAGTGGGCCCCTCACATCCTGCAGGAAAAAGAGGGATCTTCCTACCTGCGTGGTGGCCACCTGGGGAAATCACCTGGAACTTGGGCCATCATGCTCTCACTACTCCCATGAGAGGGCAGCGGGAACTTGGCCTCCTGGCCCCCACCCACCCATACCTCTTACTTCCTACTTCTGGTCCTCTCAACACTGTGGCCAAAGGGAGCTGTGCCATGAGGACCCTCAAGGTTCTGTGGGGGACCACACACAGTCCCACAGACAGGCAAGCTCCCTGGTGCTCTGTCCCTTTGAATCAGCCTCCCTGCTGGTGCCGTCTCCTTACTCTCCCCCTGGAGGCAGCCACTGTGGGCTCCAGAGGCTAAGGCCGTATCTGTGTCACTCCCTTTGTTCCTAGCACCTGCTTGGGACACTTAAGTTCATAGTGACCTGATTGATTAAATGAAAGTTAGAGTCTGGAGGTTTGGAAGAGTTTTTGAAGTATAGTTGACATACAGTGTTGTATTAATTTCAGGTGTACAAGGTAGTGATTCGACCATTGCGTACATTAGACAGTGCTCATCACCATGAGTAGTCACCATCTGTTAGGGCGCAAAGTTATTGTAGTATTACTGACCATTTCTCATCTTTGTGACTTATTTATTATATACCAGGAAGTTTCTACCTCCTAATTCCCTTTTGCCTGTTTCACCCACCCCCCCCCTTCACCTTTCCTCTGAGAACCACCAGTTTGTTTTCTGTATTTAGGAGTATTTTTTTAAAGATTTTATTTTTAAGTAAACTCTACATCCAGCATGGGGCGATTGAGCTCACAACCCCAAGATCAGGGATTGTATGCTCAACCGACTAAGTCAGCCATGCACCCCAAGACTCTATTTTTTGTTTGTTCATTTGTCTTGTTTTATAGATTCCACATGTTAAGTAAAAACATACAGTATTTATCTTTTTCCGTCTGAATTATTATTTCACTTAGTGTAATATCTTCTAGGTCTATCCATGTTGTTATAAATGGCAAGATTTCCTTCTTTTTTAAGACTGAGAACGGTGTCGATCTTGCTTCCATCAGAGAGGTCTGAGGACACACAGCTCAAGCTGAAGCTGGCTTCCTCCCCAGGCCACTTCTTGCCTCCAGCTGTGGAAGGGCCCCCACCCTGACCCACACTCAGCCTGGACACCTGCCCAATCCAGCAGACCTCCTCAAGTGCTTTTGTACGGGCCTCAGTGGGGGGAGTTAGGGCCTAATGTAGAGTAATTGCCCTCACACCAGGGGTTCTCCTTTCTACCCTTCTGCTTTTCCACCCATTTCCTACCCACCTACCCCCTTCACTGCCCCTAGATGGGCTTCTGGTTACTCCCCTATCCCTGACCTCCTACCCACCCACCTAGCTATTTTTATCTTGGCTTTTGTCTTGCAGACATTTCCTGCTGAATAATAAATGAAGCACCTTTCCCAGGCTCTGTAGTGGGGGTGGGGGAGGAATCAGGACCTCCTCCTGAGGAGAAGGAGGCTAGAAGGCCTGCCCATCATTTCCCCTCCACCAGTAGGTGGGGTCTCCTTCCAGCCCAGTTCCTGGCAGTCGGAGAGTGGGTAAATGTTTGCTAAATTCATGTGCATGGTCAGCAGTACTGCCTGCCTCTGTGGGTGTGGGAGCCTTGTGTGTCTGGGTCCCATCTGCCTGTGGGGCCAGGGCTTGGGACCAAACAATGACAGCAAATCATGGGGGTTTGAAATTTAGAGAAAGAATCAGTCTCTGTGGTGACAGAAGTTGGCCCATGAAACTGCAGTCAGTTGGAAATTTAGAGTGGTGGAGGGGGAGGGCTGTTTGGAGCCCTGGCTTCTGAGAGGTGAGGCCTTAGTTCCCCCACCAAATCAGTGGTCCCCTGATTATCTCCAGGCCCCAGCAGCCTCTTCCCATCACCTGGCAAGCTTTCCAGGGCAGGAAGTTGATCCTACAGGGTCCCACAGCTGTGCCTGGCTGCTCTGTCTCAGCTTCCTAGAACCCTAGGGACTAGATCTATCCTGGGATGTACTGTGGGCAAGAAAATAGGCCCTGGGGTTGGCAGCTTCCTAGAAGGCCACCAGCAATCCCCCTCCTGGTTTGTAGGCTTGTGAATGTGTTGAGAGGTTAACTCACATGATCAATAGGGCCCTGCAGAAGCCATGTGATGTCTCTTTAATGTTAGTTTGCAAGTCCATCTTATTCTGTCTCTTTCTGTCACATAATTCACTCTGGGGGAGGCCAGCTGTCCTTGACTATGGAGAGGCCAACTGAGTGTGACCTGAGTGAGAGTGAGTTTAGAAGTAGATTCTCCAACTCCTTGAGCCTTTGGATGAGACCCCAGCCACTGTCAACATCTTGACAGCAACTTCAGGAGAAATCTTGAGCCAGAACCACCCAGCTGAGCAGCTCCTGAATTTCTCTCTCAGAAACTGAGATGATAAATGCTTGTCATTTTAAGCTGCTAAACTGTAGATTAATTTGTTATGCAGCAATAAATAAGTTGTATGTAAAACTTAAATAACAATAGCAATAAACAACTGTGTACCCACAGTCACCCAACAATCACCCCCACCTGCCCACCTAACAACGGGGTTGTAGAAGAGGTTGGGTGGGAGTAGGACTGGACTCTTGGGGCTTGCTAGGAAACTGCTTCCAGGTCAAAGTCAGGCCCATCCACTCTCTGTTTATGATAATAGTTGCAGGGACTACAGACCCTAGTCTAGGGCCCTGCCATGGTGCTGACCAGTCACAGTCCAGGTCCACCCCTGAGGGACCCAGGCAGAGCCAGGGGTCATTTCTGTGGCACTAACTGATAGGGCACCCTGGATCAGAGCATGGGGTTGTGGAGTCACGGGCTCCAGGTTTCCAACAAGAACAGGTGTGAGAGAAGCTTCCTGCCGAGAGCCATAGTACCACTACTGTGGGTGGGCCTGGCCTCACCTGGCCCTGTCATCCATAGCAGAGCCCTGAAACTCCTGGGCCACACTGCCCTGCTCCCTGATGGGGTGCATCAACTCTTAATTCAGCCTGGTAACCATGCTTATCAAAAAGTACCTGTCTGCTGCTACCTCAAAGGTGTCTCCTCCTGGTGTCCCACCAGACCCCAACATCCACCTGAGGGTTTTGGGTTCAACACCTGGGCCTCTACAGTGTGGAGTGAGGAGTCCCAATGCCTGTGTGGGGAGGTAGGGGCTCAGCACGAGGAGATGGTTAGTGTTGGCAGCTCAAAGCCCTATGCTTGGCCCTCATCAACCCCTGACCTGACTGTGAGGGAGGTGCACACACCTGAGCCAGCAGGGCCATCCCACCTCTTTCCCTCCCATCCTTACCCACCTAGTGGACTGGCAGGGGGAACCTTCCTGGAGCTGCTTGTCCCAGCCAGAGGCTGGTGGAGAGCAGGGCCTCTCCAGCCCTACCCCTCCCCTCACTGAAGGTCCCCTAGCACCCCTTGCCAGTTAAGCACAGTGAGGGAGAGAGGTCAGCAGCTCCTGGGTGTAGGGAGGGGACACCATCCCACTCTCACCTCCCAACTTCCGAGCTGACCTGAGAGCTGACCTGACCGCTGCCTGCACTAAACAGTCACACCCAGAGGGCTGGGGGATGATTGGGCTCCTGACCCTCCCCTCTCATTGTTCAAGGCCCCAGGCCCTGTGATGCCACTGACCTCAGCTCTCCTGCCAGCCTGGGGTCAGGAAAGTGTTATATGAGCTCCAGCTGAGCTGCTTTCTGCACATTCAAAGACTGGCTCTGGGCAGCCCCTGTGGTTCAGCAGTTTAGTGCCTCCTTCAGTCCGGGGCGTGATCCTGGAGACCCAGGATCCTGGAGTCCCTGCATGGAGCCTGCTCCTCCCTCTGCCTGTGTCTCTGCCTCTTCTCTCTCTCTCTCTCTCTCTCTCTCTCTCTCTCTCTCTGTCTCTCATGAATAAATAAATAAAATCTTTGGGATCCCGGGGTGGCGCAGCAGTTTAGCGCCTGCCTTTGGCCCAGGGCACGATCCTGGAGACCCGGGATCGAATCCCATGTCGGGCTCCCGGTGCATGGAGCCTGCTTCTCCCTCTGCCTATGTCTCTGCCTCTCTCTCTCTCTCTGTGACTATCATAAATAAATAAAAATTAAAAATAAAAATTAAAAATAAAATAAATAAATAAAATCTTTAAAAACAAAGCAAAACAAAAAACCCCACAAAGACTAGCTCTGGTGGAACAGGCCATCATCCAGTGGTGTGAGCAAGCAATTTCCTTCTCCAGTTTAGCTTTAGGAAAAGAGAAAGTTCCATGAATGTGTCTCTAGAGATTTGGTTTGCAAAATTGAGAGGTATGAGTCCCATCCCAGAATCTGAGCTGACTAGTCTGCTCACTAAGAGCTGGTGATATTTGGTCAGACTTTTCCTGAGCAAAGGCCAGGTGCCCTAGACTGACCAGCTCCCCCCAAGGTGATGGCATTAGGAAATGGAGCCTTTTAGAGGTGAACTGCTCACAAAGGTAGAGCCCTCAGTAAGGGAAGTAGATTGAGGTCCATATAAAAGGTCCAGTGGATTGAGGGCATGGGAGCTCGCACTCACTCTGCCAGGTAACGAGACAGAGGGCAGCAATCCACAACTATGAAGGGGCCCTCACAAAATCAGCCTGTTGGCACCCTGATCTCGGACTTCGGCTTCCAGAACTGTGAGGGCCAGTGTATGTTTCTATTGTTGATAAGCTACCCAATCTGGTAGCCCCTAAAATACCAGAACTTACTGTTTCCAAGTAGGTTGGTGACAGGAGGCAGTTTACTTCCTGGAAGTCACGGGGCAAATGCCTGCTCCTCCGGAGGGCAGAAACAGCTTCAGGTGTCTGGGCTGATGCTCCTTTGTGTATGTCGTTGCTCCCTGGCACGAGGGTACAGAGACAACCTTCCCCAGATGAACCCCATGGTGAGCCTCAGCCTGAAATTTAACCTCTTGCCCAAGGCAGCCCAGAACACTGGGGAATATTCTGGTCCACCTCAGCCTGGAGCTTGGAAGGGTTGTGTGGAGTGAATGAGATAGTGCTGGAATGTTCCAGTCCCCAAGAAGTGCTTAGAGCAGGCAGCTGTAACAACAGGTCCTGTGGCTGCAACTCTGTGTGTGTATGTGTGTGTGTATGTGACCAGGTTGTGGGGTTCTTGGCTGCCATCCACTGCAGTCTGGGGTGCACAGTCCCCTCAGGCCTGTGATGTGGCGTTGGGGGAAGTTTGGAGAAGGGAATTGGGAGGGAAGCAGTGACCAGCTCTTCCTAGAACAGCACCTGCCGCTGGGCTTCTTCTGGAGGTCTTCCCACCTAGAATCTGTTCCACTTGGATTGAGGAGGACAAACACGCAAATCCCTTGGTCAGAGATAGAGGCTGCATTGGGTACAGAGAACCCCCTCAGAGGCAGCCAGGGCCTTTCCCACAAAGACGTACAGACTCAGACCTTCTCTCCCATGTGCTGAATTTCCTTCAGCCTGTTCTGTGTTTGGGAAGGCTGCAGACGTGTATGTGCCCTACATCCACAATCTCTGCGTGGGGCTCTTGTGTTGGGCACCCCTCAAGGTCTTGTCAGCACGGTGGTTCAGGGAAGGCTTCTTAATCCCACAGACTGGGATTAAATTTTATTTCTGCTGTCCCTTAGTTGTGTGACCTTGGGCAAGTCACAAAATCTCAAATGTATAGGATTAGTAATACTACTTACCTCTAGCACTGTGTGGTTGAAAGAATTAAATAAAAGAAACAATCTGCATAATGACAATTGTCTCCACCAAAGGTGGAGGAGCAGGGACCAGATTTATCCTCCTGACTAAAACAACTAAAACCTGCACAAAATATATGAACTAACAAGCTTGAAAGACAGTGGTCCCTGAGAAGTGGGCAACAAATGAAGTGAGCCCTGTATTGTTCCAGCTGAAGGTTCAGAAGAAGGTTCAGGCCTCCACTGCCAGGGCCTTTCCC